CCCCCCCCCCCCCCCCCCCCCCCCCCCCCCCCACCCCTCCCCTCCATCCCTCCCTCTGACATTTCTACTGTTTACTTCTCCTTTCTGCCTCTGACCCTTAGACAAAAAACAAGCCAAGGCGACTCAATTTGTCAAGGTGGAAAGATATTGTCGATTTGTCTGTTCACTCTATTGGACTTATGACGTGATACAATGGAGCGCCCCTTCATTTTAACACTATCCTTACCAGTGCTTTTATTTTATAAGGGCGGATTTACCCGCGTGAGAGATCACCTTCATAGACATCCCATGTCCGTGAGAGCACAAGTGCGTTTCCACGAAATCCACGAAATGAGATTCATCTTTCTCGCATTTTCATGCGAGTGAGAGATAGAGGGGAAACGGGTGCTTGCGAATAGGTAGCGTTCATAAAGGCGATGCGAGAGTGAATTCGGAATGACTTCGAACTTTACTCATTTGAATCTACTTCTAACTTCATACGAACTTGTTCACAAGTTGGAAACCTCACTTTTAATCCCTTGCAAGAGTGTTTCTCAATCGCCTGTCCCTCGTTGGTATTTTCCCAGCCCTCAAGAAGATAGGTAAATTATGTTATTATTACCAACGAAATTTCTTATTTAAAATGAATTACATTCTATCTTGATCCGCTCCCACAACCGGTTTCTCCATACAAAGCCCGTTATCCTGAAATAGTCACTTCAAGTCATATTCTAGAGGAAGGGGAAAGAAGGGCGCAAAGGAATGAAGTAAGAGAGGAGGTGATAAGGAGATTAGGGGGTGGACACGTGATGGAAACTGTGAACCTGCCTGTCCGAAACTACGAGAATATCGAACCCCTCCGTGATGGCACGAAGATTGAGAAGCACTGCCTTACGAACATTGCGAATCCGAATCTGTACGAAGCTATTCTGAATCCTTCGTACAGTGAAAATCGGTTCATTTATTAGTGCAGGAGTGTCAATACTTTAGCCGGACCCTCACACGAGCCTTCCTTTCCTCTCTCAGATCTAAAAAACGAAGCACCTCCTGTATAATTCTTCTACTTCTTGTAGTTACTTTGGCCAATTCACATCGATCAGGCATCATGACCTGCAAAAGTCATCTTTCTGGGTTTTTACGTTTCCGAGATCATTGAAGTCTGAATTGCAAGAGGGCGATTTCACTTTATTATTTCTAACACAGTTCTGGAAACTTGAAGGTAAGGTTCACCCATTCTGTCAGCAGTTTCTCGTCAGATTACATAGAAATAAAAGCGTCCAACACTGAGTGCAAGAAGAGATTTAGAGTGTTTACCCAGATAATAACTTACTAAATATCGAATGAAACCTCATTTCAAGCTCTGTTGATCACATTTTTTTTTAAATAAAAAATATCACCCTGAAGTTATGGCATGCTGAACGTGGCCATGCTGACTGTCACCTCTGCCCATAACTCGACTTGGTTTTTGTGGATTGGACCCATTTAATGCGTTCCATATTTGGCAATGAGCCTTCACCTTTGACAATACAGTATTACAATGTACAAGATGTCCCATCCAGGCCACCTTGTTGGTCAATCATTACGTGTAGACGGGGCTGAAATATTTTTTAAATTTCCGCCGAAATGGAAACTTTTCAGACAGGGCATCCTAGACCTGTTGGACATGCACTTTCAGTGGGGGAAAAAAAAAAAGAGGAAGACGCTGATTCTCCTGGCCCCCCCAGATACTGTCGTTCGCAATCTAAATATTTTCCTCGATCCGAGATTATCTTAACCCTGCATTCTGGCTTCCTTGACG